AGGAATAAGTTTAACCAAGGAGGTGAAAGAGCCATACATTGAAAACAATAAGATGCCGATGACAGCAACTGAAGAAGACACAAATAAATGGAAAGATATTCTGTGCTCATGGACTGGAAGAATGAATATTGTTAAAATGTCCATACTATCCAAAGCAATCTACAGATTCAATGCAATCCCTATGAAAATTCCAATGGCATTTTTCACAGAAATAGAACAATCAATCCTAAAATTTGTTTGGAACCACAAAAGACCCCAAACAGCCAAAGCAATCTTGACAAAGAAGAGCAAAGCTGGAGGCATCACGTTCCCTGATTTTAAACTCTATTACAAAGCTATAGTAATCAAAACACTATGGTATGGGCAATAAAAATAGACACGTAGATCAATGGAACAGAATAGACAGCCCAGAAATAAACCCACTCATATATGGTCAATTAATTTACAACAAAGGAGACAAGACGATATAATGGGGAAAGGACAGTCTTTTCAATAAATGATGTTGGGAAAACTGAACAGCCACATGCAAAAGAATGAAACTGAACCACTATTTCACACCATACACAAAAATTAACTTGAAATGGATTAAAGACTTGAATGCAAGACCTGAATCCATAAAACTCCTAGAGGATTTTAGAGGAAAACATAGGAAGTAGGCTCCTTGAAACAGGTCTCGGCAATGATTTTTTGAATCTGACACCAAAAGCAAAGGCAACAAAAGCAAAAATAAACAAGTGGGACTACATCAAACTAAAAAGCTTCTGCACAGCAAAGGAAACCATCAACAAAATGAAAAGGCATTCTACTGAATGTGAGAAAATATTTGCAAATCATATATTTGACATGGGGTTAATATCCAAAATATATAAAGAACTCATACAATTCAATAGCAAAAAAACGAACAATCCAACTGAAAAATGGTCAGAAGATCTAAATAGACATTTTCCCAAAGAAGACATACAGATGGCCAACAGGTACATGAAAAGGTGCTCAACGTTTCCAATCATTGGGAAATGCCAATCAAAACCACAGTGAGAAATCACTTCACACCTGATAGAACAGCTATTATCAAAAAGATAAAAAAAAGTGTTGGCGAGGATGTGGAAAAAGGGAATCCTTGTACACTGTTAGTGGGAATGTAACTTGGCACAGCCACTATGGAAAATAGTATGGAGGTTCCAAAAAAATTAAAAATAGGATTACCATATGATCCAGCAATGCCACTTCTGGGTATTTATCCGAAAACAAAAACACTAATTCAAAAAGATATATGCACCCCCATGTTCACTGCAGTATTATTTGCAATAGTCAAGATATGAAAACAACCTGTGTCTATCAATGGATGAATAGATTAAAAAAAGTGGTATAGATATATAATGGAATATTATTCAGCCATAAAAAAGGAGAAATTCTGCCATTTGTGACAACATGGATGGACCTTGAGGGCATTATGCTAAGTGAAATAAGTCAGACAGAGAAAGACAACTACTATATGATCTCACCTATATGTGGACTCTATAAAAAACTAAAAACAAAAACCAAGCTCATAGATACAAAGAACAGTTTGGTGGTTGCCAGAGGCGAATGGTGAAGGGTGGGCCAAACGGGTGAAGAGAATCAAAAGATACAAATTTCCAGTTACAAAATAAATAAGTCATGGTGATGTAATGTACAGCATGGCAACTATAGTTAATAATACTGTATTGCAGGGCCGGCCCTGTGGCTTGGTGGTTAAGTGCGCGCGCTGCAATGCTGGTGGCCCGGGTTCGGATCCCGGGTGTGCATCGAGGCACCACTTCTCCGTCCATCCTGAGGCCGAGTCCCACATACAGCAACTAGAAGGAAGTGCAGCTATGACATACAACTATCTACTGGGACTTTGGGGGGAAAAAATAAAATAAATAAAATCTTTAAAAAAAAAAAAAATACTGTATTGCATATTTGAAAGTTGCTAAGAGAGTAGATCTTAAAAGTTCTCATCACAAGAAAAGAAATTCTGTAACTACATAAGGTGATCGATGTTAACTAGACTTACTGTGGTGATCATTTTGCAACATATACAAATATCAAATCATTACGTTGTATACCCAAAACTAATATGTTGTATGTCAATTATACCTCAATTAAAAAAATAATAAAATTAAGGTGAAAAAAATCATCTCAGACAAAAATACAAAATAAAAATGAAAAAAAAGAAACTATTTTCTATCAGCTGTAAATAAAATAAAAGCAATATATACATTAAAATAAACTGGAGTTGGCATGCAAGAATGCCACATCCAGAAACAGCAAACTAGGTTTTAGGGGGCAACCCTCCTATTTGTAAATAAATAGAAAAGCTGGACAAATGTAGTAGAAAAAAAATTTGAGACTACTGGACAGTTTCCAAGGCAGGGAGGATTTGTGGTGCCAAAATCTCGGAGAAGAGGGAGGCATCAAAAAATAAAATTTCACCCCCTCTCTGCCATGTGAGGATACAATGAAAAGACAGCTATCTGCAAACCAGGAACAGGGCCTTCACCAGAACCCAATCAGGCTGGCACCCTGATCTCGCACTTCCAGCTTCCAGAACTGTGAGAAATAAATATTTGTTGCTTAAGCCAAAAAACAAGCAAACAAAAACAAATATCTCCAATAAATCTAACAAAAGACGTACAAGATGTCTATTCAGATCATTATAAAACATTATTGAGAGAAATTAGAGAACATCTATTTTTAGTAAATGGAGGGACATACCATGTTCATGGATTGGAAGACTCAATATTATAAAAAGGTCATTTCTCCCCAAGTTGATCTATAGATCCAGTGCAATCTAAATCATAATTCTAGCAGGTTGTGTGTGTGTGTGTGTGTGTAACCTGACAAGTTGATTCTAAAATTTAAATGGAAACACAAACGGTCAAGAATAGCCAAGAAATAAAGAACAAAGTTGGAGGACTTACTCTACTGGATAACAAGACTTTTAAAAAAAGCCATATTAATTAAGACAGTTGTGGTATTGGCACAAAAACAGATCAACAGAACAATGGAACAGAACATGGTCCAGAAACAGATTAAATATATACGGATATTTGATTTATAACAAAGATGTCCTTTCAGAAACAGGACAGTTATTTCAACAAATAGTGTTGTGACAAATGGATATCCATATAGGAAAAAATGGATCTTGACTCCTCTTTATTCAATAAGCGAAAAATCCATTCCACGTGGAGAGTAGATCTAAATACAGTATAAAAGGTGAAAAAATAAGGCTTCTAGAAGTAGAATACCTTCATGACCTTGGGATAGGGAAAGATTTCTTTAACAAGATACAAGAAACACTAATCACAGAGGAAAAGACTACTAATACTATTTAAAGTTAGTAACTTTTATTCATCAAGGACATCATTAAGAGAGTGAAAGTGCGAGCCACAAACACATCCTATATGATTCAGATTATAAAAAGTTCAAAAATAGGCAAAACTAATCTATGGTGTTAGAGGATAGATTAGTGGTTACCTCTGGGGAGGAGGAGGGGGTACTAAACAGAAGGGGCAGGGAGGAGGTTCTGGGGTCCTGGCAATCTGTTTTTTTGTCTTGGGTGGTGTGGTATAGAGTATGTTCATTTTGTGATAATTCACTGACCTGTGCACTCAACTCACAAATTATGCATGTTTCTGTTTCAATGTTATACTTCAATAAAAAAGTTTCCTAAAAAAGTTTTGGCCTGTACTATTAAATCTCCAAACTTTTCAAAGGACACTTTAGGGAATGATTTCCCCATCTGCTTTGGTATATAAACAAATCTGGGTACACTATTGAAATATTTCTTTCAAGCATATCAGAGAAATTTCCTTGCCAGTCCAGTAACCTAACTTTCAAGGCTAGAACTGTCATGAATTGGGGTATTCTGCTTTGGGGCTTTAACACTGGGGTAGAGGTAGAGCTAGGTGATGGCTACCGCTGTTCTCCCTGACTCAACTTCCTGTTGGGCATATTTCCTAGTCTACTGCACACTAGTCCAACTTGGAGAGGACGTTCTGATAACAAAACAAAACTTGTCATTTGGAAGAATGCTCCTCTACTCATAACTCATATGTACTGTTCAGACCCAAACCAGTACATTGCACCTATCTGTCTGTATTTCCAAATTCTGGTACTTGGTTGTCAGCGGTGCTAGAAAGATACACAACACAGCAGGAACACTTTCCTACGCTGGGCATGGTTGGCCTGGTAATCCTGCCTATAATTTAAATCTACTTTCTCTCAACCTGTAGACATCAAAGCTGAGTTGCTCTAATAGTCAATGGCACAAATGCTACTCTTCTGGCTTTTCGAATCACGAGCTAGAATCTCAATATAAAAATCAGGGTTAGTTCACCAAATCGGAGCTGGCTGAATTGGGGGTCCTGATTGGCCTGCGTGTTACCTAACCAGGCTGAAGTCTTGTTGCGCAGTGCTTCATACATCCTCAGGGTCACAGGCCAGAAGCAAGCAGGGCAGAAGACAGCACGGCTGAAGAAGCCACCAGTTTGATCGTAGCAGGAAAGTTGATGAAATGGCCCCTGCCACTACTGCCAAGCTCTTCAGTGAAGAAAACACCAGCCATACTTTGACACATAAGAGCACCGTTTTTATATTGTGTCTGTCTTTAAAATTTATTTCATCTGATTAAACCTCTCAGCAGTGTTGGAGAATGCTGGTCCAAACATCCTGTCAAGGCTCCCCTGATACAAATCCTTTGGACATGTCAGAGCAGAAGCCACCCACAACCATTCTCTTTTGGAGCTCAGGTCAGCCTGGTGCTTATGTCCCACAGGGGCCTCTCTAAGATCTCTGAACAGAAACCTAGTAGATTTCCAGCACCTGAGGTCACTGATCAGATTCCGCTAGTGACTCCACTGTCACGGTGGAGTAGTGGTGGTAGCGAGAATCCTAAACAAAGTGACAAGTAGGCACAGACTGGTCTCTCACAGAAGTAGACAAGGACAGGGTAATAGAGAGCTGTCAATTTTACTTACCTAGATCTACAAAAAGATGCTTTTCTCCCTTGTTATTCTTGACAATTAAAAATGAAAGATCAGGACTGCTTTGCTTAGCTGACCCCAGCCTTTCCAGTTTCTTTGAATTCAACGTCCAGCTCTCTCCTATATCCTTCTCTGAGGACGTTTTGCTAAAGGAAATTCCTTGTTTAGTTGGTGTTGCAGAAAAATGGGAAAATCCATGGTTCGTTGTTTCTGGAATCCTGTCATCATTTTCACTAGCAATGAAGTGAAAAGCAGGCTGCAAAATTTTTCTCACAAAATTCCCTAAGAAAAAAAATATCATGATTAATCTAATTTTTCTTTTCCGCAAGCTAAACTTAAGATCTAGGCACAAATCTACACATGACTATTTTACACAGTAAGCCTTCTTCTTTTGATTTCTGGTTTTAAAACTGAGTTATTACATGGGGGCCAGCCCCGTGGCGTAGCAGTTAAGTGCATGTGCTCCACTGCTGGCAGCCCGGGGTTCAGATCCCGGGAGTGCACAGAGGCACCGCTTGTCAGGCCATGCTGTGGCCGCATCCCATATAAAGTGGAGGAAGATGGGCACAGATGTCAGCCCAGGGCCAGTCTTCCTCAGCAAAATCCTCAGCAAAAAGAGGAGCATTGGCATGGATGTTAGCTCAGGGCTGATCTTCCTCACCAAAAAAAAAAAAAAAAAAACCCTGAGTTATTACAAACTGTAATATGCTTCTCCTGTTACTTCCTTTCACTTGCGCGATCTTTTACTTTCTCAGTTCCCATTGGCACACAGGAGCTTGGCGTCATTTGTAAACAAATCATCTTAGAACGGAAAGTTAATTTGAGAAGATGTGTCAATGTTGCTGGTATGGGCCTGAGCCTAACGTACGGTCACCAAAAAACCACCACTTTTATAAACAGAAATTGAGTAGAATTTTATCTTCACAATCAATGATTAAAGAATGAAATGTTTACATGAGTAAATGGTGCTGCCAAGATAATGCACAGAAACACTGAGAGAATCTCTGCCATATTCTCCTTGAGTCAGGACGTCAGCAAATTTCTCAGGAGCTTATTCTCTCTCCTTTACCTGATATAATATGCCCGAAGGACGCTGACATCCATAGCTATCAGTTCCAAAGTTGTTTCTCCTCCTGCCTCTTCCTATTTTTGGTCACTAGATGGGTTGTGGCCTCAGAACTAAAGTCCAGGACTACAGCAATTAAATACATTTATTGTATTTCAACTTTTATTCTAAGAGCTCTAAATATTAGTGGTCCTATCTTTACCAAGAAAAGATGACATAACAAACTGGAACTTCTTTAAGCTCTCATAAATTATTTATATCATAAAATCAAGTAATAATTTGGTTAAATTGCTTCATGTATAACAATACTGGAGAAACGCAATACTGTAAGAAAAACTTAACCTAAAACTGGTACATCTGGGTTTGTCACTTTATTTACCAGACAACTTGAACCCTTATATACGATACGCATACTCTCAATTCAAAATTCTCTTTCTCCAAATCAGACTTAATTACTTCCCTACTCAAAGAAACAAATCCACTATCTTATAAAATGCTAAACACCAAAATGAAAGCAAAAGAATTTGATTCTCGCAATGATATGCAGACATGATTATCTCTGGAATGAGGGAGATAAGGTAAATACCGAGTGAAAAGAAATCGTGATATATCAAAAGACAACAAAGCAACACAAACATAAGTTGATAAAGTTAATTTCCCTGGAAATACAGAATTACATCTACTTGAGACTAGGCAACGAGAGAGTGAAGGCACGGTTGCAGAACCAGTTGCTAAGGCAGCACGAAGGAGGCCAGGAAGGCCTTTGACCTTTGGCAGGGAGCTGACACAGCCAGGATATGATGACAGTACAACCAGCATAACTACTAACACAGGCTCCCAGCAAACAACTCTGCTTTCTACTTCCCTTCCCCAATCTTACCACCCTCACCTCATCATTAATACAGGGACAATTTTAGTGGCTGTGATTAACTCAAGAGAAAGTATCAATTATAGAAATTTCACATCCTATGGTAGGCTGGCAGAATCAAATTTACATGTTTTGCTAACATTCTATGATCTCTTACAATTACCCTAATTCCCCTTTCTGAAAGGCTGACGATAGGAACTAGAGATGTCACCAAGAGATACACTGAAGGAGGGGAATTTAAAGGGAAAATTTGGATTAGTATTTCATAATGTCTGCATCTCTGGTTCTGGCAGTTTATAAATTTAGAGGAAAGAACCCTTTGATAGCATCCCACGTATCAAGTCTGACTGTGTGTGTCTCTCACTCTAGCCACATACTACTCCCACTGCTCCCCAAATTAGCCACTAACTCGTATATCTATACTTTTTCTTATGCTGTTCTGATTGTAAAGTCTTTCTTACCTTTGTCTATATCATGGTACCTGATTTGAAGCCCAGTTTGAATGTCATCTTCTTTCAGAAGAGATCTGTAGCAGACACTGCTAATTACCTGACAAATTTCTGTCCTCCCCTTCTTCCCTAGCAACAAATCTCAATTTTCAGCCTTGTGGCTAGGAGTCATAGAGCAAACTATGAGGAGTAAATAGGAATCAAAGAAATATCTTGCTTAGGACTCTGCCCCTACACTCTCACAGTAGAGCCTACTTAACATTCAGTCATTCATTCAGCAAATATTTATTAAATGCCTACTTGTATTTACTATTGCTGCTGCTGTTATTGTTATATTATTATTATTGATAAAGATATTGTTATGCGATAAGCTCTGGGAATACAATAGTGAATAAGAAAGAGTCTGTGCCCTAAACAAATATTAGTGGGAATAGAGAGGACAAAAAAAAACCCCCAGGAAATTACCTCAGGAAGTGGTGAAAGCTTTGACACAATAAGCACCGGGTGCTCTCTGCAACCCCGAGGAAACGCTAAGTCTTAGGGTTTGCGATGTGACAGAAATGGCATCTCCGATGACAACACCTACAGAGTCTTAACAGACTAGGTGAAATGGAAGTATGTCCACTGAGACAGCAGCAGGAAAAAGTGCAAAGGCAGGAGGACTATAGAAAATGTGGCCTCAGTGGGAGCTGAGTGTAGGACAGAGTGAGGAGGGCCGGGTGGTGAAAGGGCCCTTGGAGAGTGGGCCTCACTGTGCAAACCAAGACATCCGGACTTTCTCCTGAAGGCAATGAATAATCCTTGCAGGGTCTAAGGCACACAAGTGGTAGAATGAGATCATTCTAACTAGCTGACTAAAAAGTAAGCTGAGAGACACATAAATGTCAAAGTTGACACTAACGTTTCTACTTGGCTAACTGGGTTTATCACCCACTGATATAACTATCACAGAAGAAAGAGTAAGTTCTAGGGAAAAGATGAGGAGTTTGGTCTAGGACACGCTGAGTTTGAAGTGTTTGTGTGAGGATGTTTAATAGCCAGTTGGCTGTATGACTCTGGTGGGGAGGAGAACCAATCTTGGCTGAGGATAAAGATTTGAGAGTCATCAACACATAGATAGTAATCGAAGCCATGACAGAGGATGATCATCAAGGTTACAGAGAGAGTGAACAGAGGGACAAGGATAGATTCTATAATTACTAATATCTAAGGGACGAAAGAGACAGAGAAGGAATGTCCAACTAAGCTAACAGAAAACAGGGAGATAATGAGACCCACGTACATAGCACGCCAGGTCACTGTGACCTAGTGCTACCCTAATCTAGCAATTAGGTTCCTGACTTTTACACCAGTCCTTCAGTGACTATGTTCACGCCTTTTACCCTTGGTACCCTTGAAACTGTCAGACACTTGTCGTTCTGAAATGGATTACCTGAACTTCAGTTAACTGTCTGCTGTTTGGACCTAGGAATACTTGGCCTACACCTGCTTTGATAAACACTCAGGATTTTGGCTTCTATTTAGACTGTGGTTTTCGGTGTTCTCATTCTGCCTATTTGTTCCCCTTCAGACTGACTTCATTTTATACCTGGGCCTATATCTCTAAATGTCCAGTCTTGGAACAAATACTCTGGTTACACTTTCAGGCTTACACCTCTAGACTTCCCAACCCTGAAGTTCAGCCTGGAACAATAAACAAGCCTTCCTGGATGTGGCCTGGAACCGAAGTCCCAGTCCTCATGCACTAAAAGCTGAGGCTAAGGCAAGGCTGAAGCCAGTGTCAGAAATCCAGATGTGAGACATCACAGGTAAGACTTGAATTAGGCCCCTCATGTATTACCCAGAAAACTTCTGACACGACTCCGTTAGAGCAGAAACCAGTACCAGGGCATGCATAGCCATCCCAACATCTATAGCCAGAGGCACTAATGCCCGGGATATCCTCAGTAGGTTAGTGTATCTAAAATGTGTCTAGAATAGGAAGATACATCTAGAACTAAAGGCAAATCCTGAAAATGTGAAAAATCACATTTCATTTTTTAGAATAGGTTAACAACAATAAATCTAACTAATACTTACAAAATTTTAAGAGGAAAAGAAAAATAGGAGTTTTTAATATAACCCCATGACTTTTAAAAAAATAGTATACTTACCAACATGAATGTTATCTTTAAATGCCACATCAGGGAGTTGAAATATTAAATGGCAGCTAAATTTTTCATGAGTGCTAGAATCCAAGTTGAAAACATCTTCAGCTGAACAATTAACCCTGTATAACTCTTGAAGTGCTTTACAAACATGCTAAAACCACAAGTAAAATGTAAATAATTAATATTTTTTGTTTTAAAATTTTTCCATGAGCAAAATTCAAATATCTTGGTACAAGTCTAACTTGTTTTTATTTTTATTTGCTATCAGAATATTTATTATGTAATAATATTACCAAATTACTTATGTATTGAAATATATATCGTATTTAAATTATTACACGTTTATGTTCAAAAATTCACAGGCTGTCAGGATTAAAGGCCTCTTAGAAGTCAAACAATTTATCTTACACATTAATCTCCTCTAAAATCACAAAAATATTTCTTTTTAAGTATCTCTTTAAATATCATCTATGAATTTAAAAGTTATTAATTCCATTGTTCTGGAAGTTCCTCAAACATAGTGAGCCCAAATCTAGCTCCAAGAACATAGCCTCTAGGGAGGGCTGGATGACATGATATTGAAGGCAGTTCTGCATTATAGGAAGGCAGCAGGCATAGGTTAGGAGCACAAGACTTGGAGTCAGAAAGATCTAGGTTTGAGTTCTGGCTTTGCCCCTTACCAGTTCTGTGACTTTGGTCAAGTCCAAACTTTACATTCCTCGGCTGCAAAACGGGATAATAATAGGACCTGACTTTTGGGGTTGTTGTAAAGAGTAAAGGAGAAAATGAGAGGAAAGAGTTAGCACACTGCCTGGCACATGTAACTGCTTAAAAGCATTAGCTGTACAGCCACAGGACAAGACACTTCTGAAGCCTCAGTCTTCTTGTCTGCAAAACGAAGTTACTAAGAACTACCATGCAGGGTTATCTTGAGAGCTGCAAAAATGTAAACTGTCAAGCACCTAGATACCTAACAGTTACGCAGTAAATTAAATTTTTTCATGTTATTTTGGCATTATTATAGCACCCCCTTCCCCACGCTCTCTGATCCTAGTCTTCTTCAGTAAATTCTCACTTTCTCAGAGAAGGCTTCCTCAATTTCCCCACCTACATCAAATTCGCCCTATATATTCTATTTGTAGTACTTACACAGCTACAATTTTATGTTATTTTGCGCGATTATTTTGACATCTGTTTCCTCTGTATGACAGAGGCTACCCCTCACTATCTGTTCTCTCCTGCTTCTGGAGAAATAGAACGCTGATTATTAGTTAGATATGAGGCCCTCCAGAATAAAGACCACATTTCCCAGACTCCGTCACAGTAAGGTGTGGCCATGTGACTAAGTTCCGGCCAATGGGATGTGAGCAGAAGGAAAGTTGGCCACTTCTTAAGGCGAGTGGCATTCCCGCCCTTCCCTCATTTCTTACTGACTAGAATGCAGACAGTCATGGTGAGCCATTTTGGACAGCTTAGGAAGAGCAAAGCAGCAAGCCTAGTCCCTAATACAGTGCAGACACATCCAGATATTACATGAAAGAAAAATAAATTTCTATCTTGTTTAAGCCACTTTAATTTTAGGTCTTTATTATGGCAGCTAAATCTATCCTAATTTATTATCTTCCATTAGACTATAAATTCTATGAAGGCAGAAACCATGTCTCTTTGGGCTAACCACTGTATTCCTAGTGCCTAGCACAGTGACACTTTAGTAGAGGCTGAAAAAATTTTGATAACTGAATGAAGTCTAGTTTTGTACCTTGGAACTATACAGAATAAATGTAATGACTCTGTAGGTAATAAAAGTAATCATAATCTCCTAAATTCTCTTTCCCAAGTTAAACTTTAAAATTTTAAGTTATTTAAATATTTCAGTTGAAAAATCCAGAAGTTAAAAATATATGATTATTTGAGCAATGTGACCTGTCAACATAGTTTTATAAAATGCTTTAGCATCAGAATTCTTTCCAATTGGGAGAAGTGGCTTACTGAAATTTTTCAGTAAATCATTGAATGAAAGGGCATTATATAGTATCACTAGTTATTATCAGCCAGTTGTTTATTAACCATCTGTTAAATTAAGATAGGAACTAATCTAATTTTTTTGTTCCAGGGAAAGATTTACCCCGAGCTAACATCTGTTGCCAATATTCCTCTCTTTCCTTTCCCCTCCCCAAAGCCCCAGTGAATGGTTGTACATCCTAGTTGTAAGCCGTTCCAGTTCCTCTAAGTGAGCCGCTGCCACAGCATGGCAACTGACAGACAGGTGGTGTGGTTCTGTGACTGGGAAGTGAATCTGGGCCACGGAAGCGGTGAGCTTCCATGATTAGCAGAGCTAATCTAATTTACGTCTCTTCACACAGAGACTCAAAGGAAAAGTACTTACTGCATTATATACCTGTTACATACAAAGTAACCAATAAATGAAATTAATTTCAATATAATAATTTATAAAGGTTATAATAAGTAAAATAATCCTAATAGCTTTTTTACCAACATGACAAACATGTTAAATAAAAACACTGTATAATTTTAAACTCAGATGTCTACAACTTTTTCCAGCTTTTGCTAATGTAGAAGATTAGTTGTTCAAAACTCATTTGGATAAGACTGTATAAAGAATTAGAAGGAAAAAAATTTTAAGCACCTACATTATCTTTGCCACACCAGTGTTTATTAATCTATGCTACAAATGGGATTTGCACTAGAGTGTTGATTCCATTAGGGATATTGCTAGTTTATAATACAATGTGGTACTTCTTTGTTACTAGTATGACCATATGAAAGCGCCAATCAAAGTCCCTGAATCTTAATTCCTTGTTGGCCACACAGAGGCCACATAATAAATCCCACCTTAAACTACAGAAGTGTATCACACACCAGGAAAAAGTCAATATCTATGAATTATTAAAAATGTAATTAAGGCTAAAAATTAAACACGATTTATCAACTATAATGAAATAAAATATTTAATATTACTTTTAAGAGTCCAATGGCTATTTTAAAAAACATAACCTTTTTGTTATTATTGTTTTTTGGGGGAAGGGAGACTTATGTATATTTCTTCTGCTTCAAAGCCAGGAGAAAGCTAACATTATGATTTTTTAAAAAACAGTGTTTACATACATTTTTCAAATAAATTAGATATTTTTCAAATAAAACATGTAGAGATCCAACATAATCAGCAGATAGTCTTTATCAAAAATATTTTAATTTGGATATATTTTTAAAGTTATCAAATGAGTCATCTCCAGTTAACATCTAAAAGAAAAAATAGTTAATAAATGTTAATACCTACTCTGAGGCCAAAAAATAGTCAATATAACTTGAATACAACTTAATGCAATACAATCTTAAAGGATTTTATAAACAAACCTAATAGAGCTTAGTTGCACAAGTCCAAATTATTCCTTTTGTTAGTAACTTCCTGGTCTACACTGCTAAATCAAAAATATATAGTAGAACTACACTCTTTTCTCTTTGTTAAAAACAGTGATAATTGTATTTCTAGACCAGGCTTTGCCAATAACTCGCTGTAGGACCTTGAGTAGGAATTACACCTCTCTAGGCCTTAGTTTCCTCATTTATGATGGTGCAAAATATAATAATTTCCAGAATTCCCGCCAGCTCAAAAATTCTGGTACTATTTTTATCAAAGGTCTTCTGGAGGCTTATCTTACAATAAAAATTACTTTGCCTAATCCTTATAAGAGTCAGCTATTTGTAATGTAATTCAGAGAATATATAATCCAAAAACACAGAAAATTCCCAAACTGCCACCTTTTTCAAAGCTTTTATTAGATATATTATTATGAAATATAAAGACATAAACTGAACCTTTCTCCTTTTTTAGAAGTTTACTCAGAGAAGTGATACTAAGAAACGAAAGTCAAAGGAAAAAGTAGCAAGAAAAGGGAGGAGAAACACAGAACCTATATATTACATAGGTTGGATTCACTTAATGAATGAATGGTGAATGAAGAGATATACAGAGAGATATAAGGAGAAAATCCTAAGTCTGTTATTTACCTCAATGAGTAAGGCAACCATCTTTTTCCCATCAGCTCCTGGATTGGCAAGTTTGTTAAATTCCAAATCAAAATACAGTTTGCACACAGCATTTTCAGGAATGACTTCATAGCAGTGTAACAGATTCTTTCTGAATTGAATAATTCAAGATTGTTAGGTTTATATCTTATACCTTTTAAATCACAGAAGTTATCTTACATCTCAAGATATTGTGTGAACTGTGTTTTAATGACATATAACTATGACATAATGAAGACACGATAAATGCCTCACCATAGGTTTACAGAACATAGTATCAAGAGTTTCTATTAAACAAGATGTTCTGTAACATTATTTAACTTGAAAATATGGTCAACTTCATACTGTTATTTATTCACAGATGATTTTGATATTGTGTAACAATGCTTTATTTGTTTTTGATGTCACCATGAAGCAAATTTTGTTTCAGAAAAGAACTTTCTTTCTCAAACTAGGATCCCAGAATCACATATTCTTGGGATTCCATAATTTTTGTGTGTGTGTGTGAGGAAGATTAGCCCTGAGCTAAGATCCACTGCCAATCCTCCTCTTTTTGCTGAGGAAGATTGGCCCTGGGCTAACATCTGTGCCCATCTCCCTCTACTTTATATGGAACGCCGCCACAGCATGGTTTGACAAGCAGTGCATCAATGCACGCCCAGTATCCAAACGTGCGAACCCTGGGCCGCTGCAGTGGAGCTCGCGCACTTAACCACTACGCTACCGGGCCGGCCTGCCATAAATTTTTTTTATGAGAGGTTTTAAGTTACCTATTTTCATTAGGAAGATATTTTAAAAACTGGTTAGAAACATTCCAGATCACTTGACTTCAATGAGCTTTCAGTGCTTACGTATGTAGTTAACATTCTTGCTGGCATCAAGAGGTATGACTTTAACGTGGGTTAATAAGAATAGACGCTGACTTGATACGTAAATGCTAACTTTTGCTGGGTGAAGTTCGATGGCATCCTACACAAATAAAAGCTCTGTAGTAATTTGAACAAGGAAAAGTAATGGGGGAATTGTGTCATCAAGTAGCACCAGAAGTAAAGGAATTCAAACACACACAATTTCTTTTCTCCCAACACCTGGTGAGATAATTCAATGTCGCTATGACAAGGAAACTCCAGAATTCAATTCTAACAGTAAAGGAGTAACTAACTGTGTGATTGAGAACTATGAAGGCCAATTCTGCCTGAATTAATTTCACAGACATTACTAGATAAAGGAAATGTAACTTTAGTTTAATGTGTTGTCCTTTATAAACTACTTACCGGGATTTATAATAAAACCAAAGTTGAGTATAGGTTGTTACGAGGTAAATACGTTGTCCATCACCCACTTTGCATTCCAAAGCAAATACATGAACATCCTTTATAAAATCAAAAATAATATTAAAAAATTTAATAAAATGCAAATCTAAAATCAACTGTAGCTATTCAATGTTCATAAAAACTTTACCATTCAAATTTTCGAAAACTAGAATTTGAACATTTGTATTGTTAAAAACAAGAAAAATAATCACTAGTTATATGCCAATCAAAATCTAGTTATTTGTATTTATTTTTCATTATTCAAGTAATACATGTTCAAGGCAGAAACAATTAGAATATCCAAATTAAAAAAAAGAAAAAAAGGAGAAAACTCACTTTTCAACACTCTAGTTTAACTTCTTCGTATAGTTTTGTTAGTTTATAAAATTAAACTTATTTTTTAAAACTACCTAAACATTATTTTAAATAGTTTGGGCTAAAATTAATTAAGTTCTCTAGTACCTATAAAAATATATGTGGGAATCAATTTTTTTAATGAAATATTTATAAGTTAATCTTAAAAGCTTCAGGAAAGTTTTTAAATGCTTAACTTGAACAAGTAACTATAAATTGTCTTTTCTGTGAGAAACCAATTTTTTAAAAGTTAATTGCTGTGGCACTTGATCTAACTGTTTATGTCTGCGGCCATGAAGAGTTTCTTCTAATAAAGGAATGCACAAGTTCTTATGTTTCCATTTAGCTAAAGGTAGCTGTTGAGCCTATGAAGGAACAAACTTTCATTTTCATGAGTGAGAAATCAGAGGAGGATTAAGTTTCATGACCCTATAAAAAATCTTCGAGATAAACTTTATTGACTGGTGATTGGTAAGTCCAGCAATCATACTCCTATATTTTGTGTGTGTGTGTGTGCGTGTGGGTGAGGAAAATCAGCCCAGAGCTAACATTCATGCTAATCCTTTTTTTTTTTTTCTGCTGAGGAAGACCGGCTCTGAGCTAACATCCACTGCCAATCCTCCTCCTTTTTTTCCCCAAAGCCCCAGTAGATAGTTGTATGTCGTAGTTGCACATCCTTCTAGTTGCTGTATGTGGGACGTGGCCTCAGCATGGCCGGAGAAGCGGCGCGTCGGTGCGCGCCCGGGATCCGAACCCGGGCCGCCAGTAGCAGAGCGCACGCACTTAACCGCTAAGCCATGGGGCCGGCCCACTCCTATATTTTTTTTAATTCAAGATCAAATGAATCTGTCAGTATTTTCTGATACCTGAATTAGGTTTACACAAAATAAGCACAAAAGATTTTTCTTACATTTCCTAAACCATTCTGATGAGATCTGAGTTAGTATCTCCTTAGTAGGGAAAGAAAGATCCTCCTCCTAAAAAACTTTCAGTACTTTGAGTTTTTATACAGCATCAATAATCAGAATCACAATATGATTTGCTAGAATCATAATGCTAGAATGCAGAATCACAATGTCAGATTTCGTATATGCATCTTTTCATTATACTTCTTTACATTCCCCACAGCGCCCAATAAACAAATGATGTGCAGTACACATCTGTTCATTTCTGAGTGCCATACCCTTCGCGAGGCCAGCCTGTAGCAAGCACTTCTTCCTCACACTTGTGTAGGAAATTATTCTACTTGCACTTGCCCCATATATGCTGGAAATTATGACACATCCACTCTACCACTCCAAAGCACAAAAGGAGATAGGGATAGATAAATACCTGTGTGCTTTGACACTGTGGTTTAAATTCTAGTCCTTATAAACTCTAAGCTATAGTATTTGAGACATTTTCATTTCTTATCATTTAAATTCAATTCTCGGGCCGGCCCCGTGGCTTAGCGGTTAGGTGCGCGCGCTCCACTGCTGGCGGCCCGGGTTCGGATCCCGGGCGCGCACCAATGCACCCCTTCTCCAGCCATGCTGAGGCCGCGTCCCACGTGCACCAACTGGAAGGATGTGCAGCTATGACATACAACAATCTGCTGGGGCTTTGGGGGGAAAAAATAAATAAATAAAATCTTTAAAAAAATAATAAAAAATAAATAAATAAATTCAATTCTCTTTTCCCTAATTTCATCCTTAAAAATCTCACACTTCACTCCTTCATTTCCTCATATTTCTGTGGGTACTGCTTTAGTTTTACTCTTAAACTCAGTCATTCTATTATTTTTTGGCCCAATAATATGGTCACTCTTCCTTTCAGCATAATTTCATTTAAACGTCATTACAAATTTTAAAAATTAACTGACACTAGATATGTCATTCTTTTTCATTATTAGTATAAAGTAAATGGTTAATGATTCATAGGGATATTTTTCTGTAATACTGTGATATTAGGATTACAATTAAATTCTTTTGGTAGAGTATGTGGCCTGAAATGAAGACAAACAATACATTTTTTTTTAGAAATCTTAAATTATGGTAGCTCTAAAAAAAAGCAGGAGATGAGAAAATTACCTCTTTACAACTTTTAACAAAATTAAAAGCTTCAGTTTGCCGATAAAATAGTTTCCAAATGGAAGGTGGCTCCTCTGGCTTGGACAATCTTGGTCTGTACACTGAGGACAACGGTTTCCTCTCATAACGGGATGCTCGCTCTTCAATTTGCTTCAGTTTTGCTTCCCATGTTCTGTTCATTGGTTCAGAACTATGGGGAGACTAAAACCTATCACATGTAAGATTCCTATCGATTACTACTAAAACAAACAAGGACATCAATTTCTTCATTTAGAATATATTTTCTTTAGTAAAACTTCAAAACTCATTTCCTAATGCTTATTTCCTTATCTGCCTTATATTTTATGTTTTGCATGAAGTTTTAATGTGAAATGAGAACAAGCCTGGTTGTCAGAAATCTTTAGATCTTGGCTCTTCCAAATAAGAGTGATAGGATTTTGGCCAGGTTAATGAAGCTTCCTGAATCTTAACTGCAGAATGGGAATCATTATCATCTTGAATACTTTACGTAGTTACTTGAGGACAAATGTGATAAGATACATGAAAATGTTTTGTAAATTACAAAGCCTCATGTAAATATAAGCGTTTTTGTATCATTATGGTTTTTATTATAACCATTTTATTGCGTCAAGTGCTATCTACCTTGCCCAGCTCGTGCTGCTACCGTGGCCACCATTCTTGTGCTATTATATCTTAGTGTAAAGTTTATTTCTAGGCACCGCTGTGCAGGTCTTAGCTCCCTTTTCCTCTGTTTCTGTTCATTGCTCTTCTTTTCTCCCAACACAACTGTACGTTGGGAGGATAACCCAGTGTATCAATGGGAATTACAATATTGGCTAGTTTTGGTTTAGGATGTCTATGGTTATCATAAGCATGACTAAAGAAAGGAATAAATAAACCTTAAGCTATGTCTGTTAATTCAATGATTGTATTTTTGTGATTAGCCAATTTGAAATGATTGTATTTTAACCCTTGTTTATTAATGACACGTGTTTTTCTTTGCAGACAACGCTTCCACGTTAGCCATACCAAGGTAAGGGGGCCAGGCAATACTTTTCCAATCTGGGATTATGGTTTACTTACAAAGGAAAAAGGATAGGTTTTTTTAGAAGAAGGGGGTAAAAGCTTCCATTGTAGATAAAAAATGGCCCCAAATTCTTTGCCACTCCTCCCATCAAGAGATGCCATCTAAATCCCTCCATTATACTAAAGCCAATCCCTTATACTGACTCTGGGCTTAACCACTGCTTTGGCCAATGTCACATTGACAAATGTGAAGCAAGCAGAGGTTTAATAATTGCTTTGGCATTGGATTTGGCTATCTTGGAGTCCTGCCCTGAAACTGTCATGCTATACCTCCAGCCTCACAGAGGATAAAAGGCCATCTGGAGATGAACAAAGGGATCCCACCTAACGGCCAGCACCGACTAACTGTCAGACATGTGAGTTAAGACATTCTGGATCATCCAGACATCATCTGAATCCAATGCCTGAGTCAGCCCAAGTGAGTCAGGTGAGATCTGCCAAAGAAACAGCCCAGCCAACCCACAGAGCTGTAAGAAAAAATTAATCTGTTGCTCGTTTTTTTTTTTTAAAGCCAGTAAGTTTTGGTCTGGTTTTTACACAGAAATAGGTAACTGATACAGTTTCCCTCTTCATTAATATCATCCATGGGTCATAATTTATGTAGAAAACAGATATGTTAGTTTTTTTAAGTGAAATAATAATATATACTAGAGCATTTGAGGGTGATATTCCTATGTACCTTTGGCAATGGCTTTCCAGTACCTGTGTTTATCAAGTTGATAAATATTCTCTTGAATTTTAGCCAAAAACGCTGCAACAACACAAACTCAACGGCAAATGATCCGTCCCCTAGAAGGAAAAATAGAATCACCCTGAAAGATTAAGACAGGGTAGGAATGTCATGACATTGTTAGATTTCAAATTTGACTTCAACTATAGCAGACCTAAGAAAGATTATTCTCTCAGAGTTACACCTAATCCACATGAAAATTATAATTATAAACCAAGAAATAGAAACATAATTCTAAAGGTATCAACATAAATTTCATAACAGATATATCTAGGAAAGGAATACAATTTCATTGGATTAAAAAGATGGGGCAATTTTAAATAAAACTGCTTTAATTTTTCAGTACAAAGTTATACGGCTCCTTATTGCTAGATAGAATCTGAGTATTGTTTACTTTAATCTGCTTCACATACAGATAGAAATCCCCTATATTTAAGCAACCTAACGGAGAAACTGACTTTCTCCTATGAAATTAACTTTCAATAAAGTCCACTGAGAACTTAATGAAGAAAATAAATAGACTACAATCAGATGTGACTTATAGCTCTAGTATCTACCCAATAACTGACTAGGAATAACCATGTGGACGTTCACACTTATCGACACTGATACCAGGAAAATTTTAATTTTGTAAAAATGTTGGTATGACCATGGAAGTGTGTCATACATGAAAATCAAGGAGTCAGAGTGGAAAATCAGTTTGACACTTACTGGACTGAGAAAACCATGAATGTCAACAGAAACAAAAAAGAGAAGTACAATATATGTTATGCCCTTGTGGGAGATCAAGATTTGGCTACCCTGAAACATCTCTCTTTACCTTGATTGTTTTCTCTGATGGACATTTGACCTCCCCCACTAACTGCCTAAAGAATTTGACATAGAAGATCTGTAATATAATGTAAAATAGATGTTACAATAGGAAAGGCACCAACAAGCCCATCTTATCAGAAGTTCTGTCTCTCTGGGCACATTCTCTGGATGGCCCTGAGAGGAGTTGCCAGACAAACATTTACATTTATAAGGGAAATCTCCATTTGTAAAGGTATCTCGTTTCTGTATTGGGAAGAGGCGGGATGACTTCATTTCTAGAAACTTATCAATGTGGAAGGTGAGGCCTTAAATCTGCATAATAACCTTACTCTTGTTTACTGTGCTTTAGTGGTAATCTCCAGTAACTGACTCCCCACCCCCAACATCCTCCTTTGTCTTTTGCTAAAGATGGTATTTAAGACTAGAATTTCTGCTATTGTGTTGAGAAATGCAGTGTCCCTGCTTTCTCCCATGTATACATGTTATTAAACTTGGTATTATTTTCTCCTGCTAACCTATCTTGTTAATTATTTGGCCAGCCATAAGAACCTTAAGGGAAAGGGCAGAGGGGGCTTCTCCCTCTTCCCCCACACCCTCATGTTCTTTGCACAGTTTGAAAATTTTAACAGCTGGGTTGAGGGTTAGAAGACAACTGGGGCTTGGACTATTTGAGCAGGAGGGTGAATGACAAAAGCAAAGGAAACAGAGAACAGGAAGGCATCTGGCATTCTGGTTTTGGACTATCATATTCCTTATTCCTATCCTCTGAGAGAACGTCACCATTTTAGAAATGCTTTTAATTCCTGGTGGGGAAAGAGTGCTGTCTTTCTTTTATAGAATTGTACATCAAAACCCCTTTTCACACAGGGACCATAACTATTTTTGGTAACAGTTTCCAAGTTCCAAAGAAAAATATTTGTTGTATTTTAAAATAGTAGGCTTAAGAGCACTACCGTTTCTTAACGTTGCACCAGAATGTTGATTTAACCATGTTGGATACCAATTTTACAACTAAACGTGGTCAGGCTAGAAAAGAGTCTGGCTTAGTCCTTTGGGAGTAACTGTAGTGTAGTGAGAAAAGGGGAAGTGGGGATGGAGGTGGAGAGATGACTCAGATGGCCATCCTATGTAATGGCCTTGGTTTCCCTGGGTTTATGCCTAGACTTGCCCAGCTAGGACACTTGATGCCCTGGTTCCCAGGAGCAGCTGGATAGGGGGCACGTGCTTCATGATTACTGGCTTCTAGGGAGATCTGAAGCCTGCCTTGCCATGATTCTCCCTAGTCCACTTCTCCTAGATTCTTCCCATTGTTTGTCTAATCACACGTCAATTCCTATTCCCTAACTCCAACCTCTTCCTCTGTCCTCAGAATAGATTCATCAGTATTTTGTGTTTTCTGCAGGTATGTTCTAGTTCTAGTATTTAGTAATGTTCTGGTATCTGGCAATGTTTTCTTAATATAATCCCTTTTGTGGCCTCTTGGAATACTGCTAAAGTATTCATAATAAAGTATGTAATTAAAATTCATTAATAGTAATATTATATGTTTACTTCTCAGATGAAGTAACACCTTAAGAAATATACTAATTGACTGAATTTTCTTTTTCTTCCACTTCAGTCACTTTGCCGCTCTATGCTTGAACAGAAGTAACTCATTTAAATCCCCCAAAATTCTCCTGTAAGGGATAAGAAAACATACAGTGATATATTGTTCTTTTCCAGTTACCCCTTTCTACCATCTCCACAGGCTCTCCCACCCAAACAGCCTAACTTTGCCAGACTAATGACTTTTAAAACCATTTTCATAACTTTTCATAGGGACACCCATTAATGATTCAGAGCATCACTCAATTCACACTATAGTTAACATCAAGAGGTCCAAACTCTCTCCAGAATCTGGCCCTAAACCACTTACCCATTTTATTTCTTACCTTTCAGCCTTCTGAACCAAATGAATGAAAATCACCAAATGGCAATCACCAAATGAATGATAATAACCATTTCCTGCATCTGGCCCACTCCAAAAGTCCCTTTGCATGTTTCTCTCACCTGGAATGCCCCACTTCCCTTTTCCAAATTCTTCCCTTTCAAGGCCCGGATCAAGTTCCGCCACCTCTGAGACACCTCTGTAAAAACAAATTACTGGACTCGGTCAGAAGACATTTGCTCCAGCCAACTGTTTTACTATAATTAAAGTTTCTCTAGACTAAGTAAACTAGTATAATTACACGAAAGCAGAAAACTGCTGCTGCCTTAACTGAAGCATCATTTTGGTAAGAAAGTTTAGCACAGGAAGAGGCTTGGGCATCACAAGGGCGTAAGAGGACTTGTTCAACTATACTGGTGCCTCCCTTACGAATAGCTGCATGCTGAACCACTTAGGGGTGGGAGTGGGTCCTCTTCAGTTTTATTGCAGCAGAAAAAGGACTGCCACACTTTTGTCTTCTCTCAACTTGGGAGGGATAAAGAAAGGGCTAAGTTTTACTCCTGGGATCCCAGTTTAACTTCTGTAACTCTCCTTTTAGCGAGAACAAACTACTTAACCTTTTTAAGCCCTGATGGGAACTGGAATTCCTACCTCCCGGGGTTGTTGAAAGGATAAAATAAGAAAGTGTATTGCGAACACGTAACATCACAGAATAAGCGCTCAACAAATGGTAGCCACGTATATAACGCTGTATGTTCATGTACAAAATACGGCCCCTGATTTATATCCGAATAGGTAGAAGTGTTCTTAACATGGGGTCCCTGACTTATCAGAATGTCATGAAGCTCTAGAAATCTGATGCAGAATTTCCTGCTCAGTCGAGTTGGTGTAGTCTTCTGCGAAAACGACTGAGAGTTTGCATCAGGGTCTGAAAGGCGTTCGTGACCCAAAATAGGCGGGAACCAGTAGGCAGTTAAGGCTTTAAGGACGAATGGGGGGGGGGTGACCTAAGGAAAGGCCTCAGGTCACCCGAGGGGAAGAGATTACCAGTGCGGGTCGGCCTGCTCTCCTTCCTCCAAGACGTCCAACCTTGACTCCCTTCTCTCCGCCCCTCGGGCCTGCCGCGGCTTTGAGGTCTCCCTCCGCTCACGTCCAGAACCCCGCGCCGCGGCGCGGTCGCGACTTCAAGCCTGGCGCGGGGGCGGAGCCAGAGCGCGCCGGGCCTATGAGGGCGCGGCTTCCACGCGGCAGGGGGCGGTGTTCTCGGGGCGGGGGCGG